GGGCGCGTGAGGGCGCGTCCGGCCTCCGTTGGGTGTCTGCTTTATGTTTCTGGACTCCTCTCGTCGAGCCCTTGCTCCTGGTATGCTCAAAATCTGATTTCAAGCAATACGATTTCTGGGCAGTTTCGAAACAACACTCTGTTTTTCCGAAAAACGTACAACTTAGCTCTGATACCACTTTGTTAGGATCAAACACACCCAGAAAAATATCTCACACACACAGAGAACACAATATTTACGTGGTTCGGCCCAATGCCTACATCCACGGACAGAAAAGAGAATTATCACTAAAATGGAGCAAAAATACAAATACAGAGGAGGAGATGAAACTCACTCAACTCACAGCTCTCACTCTCAATTTCTGATGATACAAACCCCTCCTCACTCATCTCAATTTATAACCAAGAGAGGAGGAGTAGGTGAAGTGCTAGCCATAATTGGCCAAGGTGGTGCCACCCCCACTATCTTCCATTAGTGAGTTAGTGTTGCCCTCCACCACCTTCTTTTACCACCTAGTGCCACCCACACTATGTGGATGGTGGGCTCTTTACCATGTGGGTAGTGGATGGAGCCAACAATATATGAAGAGTCCTTTAATTTGGTCTTTCTGTCCATGATGTTAATACCAATTGTCGGATCCTTTGATCTAGTGGAATGGCAAAATAGGATTTTATGTAGCGAAGCCAATAACTTGGGACAAGGCTCTTTTTAATTTGACTTCGATCCCTTGTTGTTGTAAGGCTATCTCCAATCCTTACTTTTTACCCATATCAAATTTAAATTTGAATAACACTGCTCAAAATTTTTCTCCACTCCCTTGGGCTGTGTTTGGTTCATGGATTTGGGTAAGAATCTGAAAAGGGAAAGGTAAAAGATGTGTGAAATGTAACCATATTTCATTCACATTTTACCTATCTTCCCCTTTCCTTTTCCAAATTCTTAACCAAATCCATAAACCAAATACAGCCTTACTCCAACTCATGTCAAAATGAGTTTTACTCAAATTTGTGGTGAGACTTTTTAAGGCAATTTGTAGTGATATAGTAGATTCTAAAGTTACAATTGTGCAACTTACCAAACTTTTACTAAAATTTGAGTTTGGCCATTGGAATACTCTATATGAAATGAAAGTTTTACTTGAAATTTTGCTCAAATCTGAGTAGAAATTTTATCTATTCTTGTGTGTTAAATTATGGGGGAAAGCTCCTCGATCTTATGCTTCTACTAAATCTCTTTTTAATGTTCATTTGCTTACTTAAATTGTATTTAAGCTCTGCTGAAGCTTTGAAGCTTCATCACGTAAAACTGTTCAATGCCCATTTGGTTTTTGCTATATAATATCAGTTCTTCATCAGTTGGTTTTGTCATGTGTACGCTTGAATTGTTATATGTAAATGATCTATAGGACTTTCAATTCTGTTTTCCAATTGATTTTTTTATACATATAATATTAGTTATTTATCAGTTGGTTTTGTAACTTTGTTTAGGCTTAAATTGTTGTACATAAATGACCTGAATGACTTTTAATTCTGACATTTTCAATATTTTGTTTCATTAAATGGCTGATGATGTACTAGATTGAGATATGTTGTGGACGATTGAAACTTGAATAGTTTTGAGTGTTGGATAATCAAATAGCTTGTGTTTTCTTCTCTTTTATGTCTGTTATTCTGTGGCGTCAGTGGTTTAATTATGTTTGTATCTTCAAACTCTATCTGTGAAATGGAACTTACTGGTTTGGGTTGCAGAGATATGGAAAAATAGACGTGATTGTGTCAAACGCTGCTGCCAATCCATCCGTTGATACTATTCTGGAAACTAAAGAATCTGTCCTTGACAAGCTATGGGAAATTAATGTTAAAGCCGCTATACTTCTTCTACAGGTAAGTTCGTAAGAGTCGCGTGTGCCATATCCGGGACTTGTGTGATACATGGTATAATAGTTCTCAGTTGCTTTAGGAGACTTTTGCTTCTAGAAAGTCCATTTTCAAGAAGCGCTTCATAAGAAGACCTCCCTAGAAAGGCCTTTTGAAAATGATAAATGTTTGGTGAATGATTCTTACGAATTGCTTCCAAAGCGTGATTAATTTTTATATTCTTTTCTGTTTTAAATTACAAACATACAATTATGAACAAACTAATTTTCTTTTTTTATATGTAAATAACTTTGAAAGAAATCAGATAAGATACACAAAGAGAAGAAGGAAACAAATGACATTCATCTCTTCAGCACAATATTATTGCAGTTCACAAATTTCTTTCAAAATATTAATGATCTACTGCATTTTCATGGCACTCTAATTGCATTTAGGATTGCATGGAAAAAGTGGGTAAGATGGGAAATATGCTGTTGAATAAGGGTCAAACTTAACGAGTCATAGTGTGCATTGACTTCGGGAGAAGTCATCCCGGAAGCCACTTACAGGAAGTCAGTTTGTTTACTTTCACCAAACACAGCAATCTCACGTCAAAGGATTTCTCGGCTGAAAAGCCCATCCAGGAAGCCACACGAAACACCCACTTAGATTTTATATGGGCTCATTGCCTTGTTCTTTGTCCCTGAATATATGTTGTGGGTGGGCTACATGGTGTACATGGTTGCGACAGATTGTTTTATTTTTCAACGCTCTATTTGTTGACATTCTTTCTCTGAGTTTGACACTGGTTTTCTTACAGGATGCAGCTCCTCACTTGCAGAAGGGTTCATCAATTATTTTTATTTCCTCTATTGGTGGCTACCAACCACAGGCTTCCATGGCTATGTATGGGGTGACCAAAACTGCTCTTCTTGGGCTTACCAAGGTTTACTTAACTGGTTCCGACATTCTTGTCACATAAATTTAGACTTTTTCTTTCTTTTGTCGTCTTACTCTTACCTTAATCTTCTTCAGGCCCTTGCAGCTGAGATGGCCCCTGATACACGTGTAAACTGCATTGCTCCTGGTTTTGTACCCACACACTTTGCTGAGTTCATCACACAAAATAGTGCTGTTGTAAGTAATATTTTAGCCTCAAAAGTATCTTCTAGCTTTCTCGATCTTGAAAGACCTTGATCACCAGCCTTTGTCGTGCACTGAATTTATTTTATTTTATTTTTTTAGAGGAAGGCGATTGAAGAGAAGACTTTACTAAACAGGCTCGGAACCACGGAAGATATGGCTGCTGCTGCTGCGTTTCTGGCTTCTGATGACGCTGCTTACATCACTGGAGAAACTCTTGTTGTTGCTGGGGGAATCCCTTCTAGACTTTAGTCTCTTTTCTTCTCTTCTTTTAAGTACTTTTGTTTCCGTTATTTGCACTTTGTCATGCCTTGAATTCATCATCAATAAATTCACAAATATAGCCTTTTGAGACAGAAAATTGGATAACATTATGCTTCATAGGCACGCTCTATTTGAAGCATGGATAACAATCTTCTTGTCATTTATAATTTTGCTAAAACTAAGAAGTCAGCTTATTTTTTTGATTTACTTTTATCTTTTCTGAATCTTTTCTTCTTTTATTTTTTATTTTGAGTCAAATACTAAAGACAAAAATAAATTGACTTAACTTTATATTTTCTGAACTTTTTCAAGTTAGGAGAAATCCAAGGAAACAAATTTGACATAATTTTAAAACAAAATCATCTCAAGTATTGCCTTGATCTTCGACGGCATATTTTAGTATATGGGTAATGATAGAGAGCTTCAATACTAGAATTCTAGTGAGGTGTCGAACGAAAAAACAAAAAGGGAAAGTAAGTCAAAACATCATTATTCACTCCCAAACATTATTGTTTAGTAGATTCATCTTCATCTTATTTGCTCGACACCAGCAAGGCAACAACCATACACAAAAAGAGCCCTATCCTGGGGACAATCCACGAAGCGCCTCATGCTGTAGGCAGGAGCAACTAGTGGGAAAAAGAAGCTTCTAAGCCTTATCCCACTCCCAGTACAAGAATTCTGAGACAGGTCGGGCAAGTGGGCACACCCAACTTTTTTAGTTTGGGAATGGAACTGGACCAATGATATGCCTCAGAATGGTTATTGGATAAGATACAAGTTGGTTACGAAAACTAAACTAGGATGGTCTTGGAGGGTAGACTACCACTTAGATCATGACCACGTTGCGGGTGTAGTGCGGAGAGGTAGTCCAAAAGTCAGCTCCACCAAGAAAGACAAAGATGGAAGAGAAAGGCCCCATAAAGTATTATGTAGGAGCCTTGCCCAGGTCCAGAGCTACGAGGATGCAATTGATTTGGTACGGTCGGTATTTAAATGACATTTTTTACCAAACTAGTAATGTTGATTTTGTTATTTTGAGCACACTGATGCAAACTAATTCTTCATCAAACTACACTAATTGAAATAGTTCGATTCAGTACAATTAATTGGTTTATGACCTTTCAAATTTAAGCTACTTTTAAAACTATAGTATGATCACTAATATATGTAAAAATATTGAATTAGTCATTTGCCTACCACTTTAAACATATCCAATACAACCATTTAGTAAATAATTTCCAAGTCATTTGTCCACTACTTTAAACATACCCAATACATCCATTTAGTAAATAATTTCCAAGTCTCAAGCCCAAAAAATGTGGCAATCAATTAGGATATCAAGGTAACACACTCTCTCTCACACATATTCTCAATCATCAACCAATTATATCACTTACACATCATTAGGTCAGAAAAATTGGTCTAAAAAGTGGACATGTATATCATTTTTCTATATATAATAAGGGTTTACTAACTTAGGTTACAAAGATGATGAAGTTAATTAATTGACTTTAATAATTTATTATACTTACTAATATTATTAGATTATTAGATTCTATATATTATAAATATAATATATGTTGAAGCGGTTGATTTCAGTTTAATTTGGCGCACAATGTAATGTTTGAACTAATATCAAATTAAAAGCCAAAAAATAAAAAATAAATACAAAATCACATATACCAATTCTTATTAAAAAAAAATTAGATTACATATAATCGATTCAGGTCAATTTAATTGATTTAGTCAATTTTTTCAATTTTTCTTACCTCCCTAGCGAAACTAAGAATAATATCAAAATCTCCATCGAGGGAAAAACGTTGGATGGAGGCATTAAGTGGTAAGGCACCGAGAAAGATCTATGCATGGCCTCTTTTTCCTTTTGTGTTATTGCTCAGCTAGGACTCAAAAGAAGATTGTTTTCTAGTAATGCTAGAGATTTAAATATTTTATATGGGTGTAGGATTTATATGGGATTCATAAGATGTGAATTTTATATCTATGTGAGACATTTAGTAGAACATTTGGTAAAATATTTTGAGTCCCTAATATTTTTCTTATTTACTTGCTCTTACTTCTAGCCCTTATTTATTTATTTATTAGTATCTATCTATTTATCTATTATATAAGTAAAATAAGGTTTTTAGTGAGAAGTCTTATGAGAATTTTAATATCTCATACTAATTTTTTTGATTATTTTAATTTTAAATAATTAAAAAAATCTCCATTAGCTAGTTTTTATTTAACTTTTATTTTACAATCTCAAATCAGGAAAAAGAAAGAAAAAGTAAATTATTTCACTTATATAAAGTAAATCTTATATTCCCATCTATACTATATATATAAACAAATGTAGTGGAGTATGAGAACCCTTATTTATTTATTTATTAGTATCTATCTATTTATCTATTATATAAGTAAAATAAGGTTTTTAGTGAGAAGTCTTATGAGAATTTTAATATCTCATACTAATTTTTTTGATTATTTTAATTTTAAATAATTAAAAAAATCTCCATTAGCTAGTTTTTATTTAACTTTTATTTTACAATCTCAAATCAGGAAAAAGAAAGAAAAAGTAAATTATTTCACTTATATAAAGTAAATCTTATATTCCCATTTAGTGTTATAGTAATGTGCGTGCTTCAATTCAAGATAGTTTAAATTTTAATAAAATAAAATAAAATTTAAAAGTTTTAATTAATTAATTTTATGCAAGCTAGCTAGTCTTTTGACCTAACTAATTAAGCTTAACCGTTTTTAGTTTGAATGATTCGCTGGTTTAACCATGATTTTAGTAATTTTATCAAAATATATTGGTTAGATTTATTTTATTCAAAATAAACCAAAGATTGATCTAATGAAAGATTGAACGGCTGAGATTGCTTGATTAGAAATAAACTTCATGTCCAACAAATATTAACTTTTATTTTACAATCTTATATCGAGAAAAGAAAGAAAAAATGAGTTTTTTCACTTATATAAAGTGAATCTTATACTCTCATTTACTATTGTAGTATTATGCATGTTTTAATTCAAGACGGCTTAAATTTTAAAATAAAATTTAAAGCTTTTAATTAATTAATTTTGGGAAAATTATTTATAAATCTTATTAGATAGACTTATGCTACATATGGTCCTACTAAAAAATTTATGTTCCCATAAGTCCTGTGGGAAATTTGTTGACACATTTACTCTCAACATTAGTTGTTAATATCATAAATAATAGTAAAACTATATATAGGAAATTGAATGTTACCATAGATCATATTTATATAAACGTAACATAACGTGACACCCATATAAACATAACGTGACACCTATACGTAACGTGACACCTACATAACATGACACCTATGATCTATGGTAACATGCAATTTTCTATATAGGAAATTGCATATTACCATAGATCATATCTACATAAATATAACGTAATGTGACACCTACATAAACGTAACGTGACACCTATGATCTATGGTGTTACCATAGATCATATCTATATAAACGTAACGTAACGTAACGTGACACCGACATAAACGTAACGTGTCACCTATGATCTATGGCAATAGATCATATTTATATGAAACGTAACGTGACACCAACATAAACCAACAACATTTTCACATTCAATTTAAAAAAATAAAAACTCATTAAGTTTGCGAAACGTAACGCGACATGCTACGTTATGTTTATGTAGGTGTCACATTACGTTACGTTTATGTAGGATCTTGTGGAATACATTCATATTTAAATAGGATTTCAGACTCTATAAGAAATTACACAAGACTTAGCCTACCATAAGTGTTTGAAAAAGGACTTATAAATAAGTCTCCCATTAATTTTTGTGTAAGTTAGTTGGTCTTTTAACTTAGCTAATTAGGCTGATTCGTTTTCGATTTGACTGATTCACTAATTTAACCACGATTTTAGTGGTTTTATGAAAATATATTAGTTACAGTTGTTTGATTCGAAACAAACTAAAAATTGACCTGATTAAAATTGAACGACTGAGATTGTTTGATTAGAAATGAACTTCCTACCCAAACAATTATTAACTTTTATTTTACAATCCCACATGAAAAAAGAAAGAAAAAAATGAGTTGTTTTACTATATAAACCTTGTGCTCTTATTTAATATTGTAATGTTGTGTATATTTCAGTTCAAGATAATTTAAATTTTAAAATTAAAATAAAATTTAAAAGTTTTAATTAATTAATTTTTGTATAAGTTAGCTGATTTTTTGACCTAGCAGATAGTCTAAACCGTTATCGATTTGACTGATTCGTTGGTTTAATCACGATTTCAGTAGTTTTATTAAAATATATTGCTTAAATTTGTTTGATTCGAAATAAACTAAAAATTGACCAAGGTAAAGATTAAACAGCTGAGATTGCTTGATTGAAAATAAACTTCCCGCCCAACCAATTGTTAACTTTTATTTTACACAATCCCACATCGGGAAAAGAATGAAATAAAATAAAATTTGAAAGTTTTAATTAATTAATTTTTGTGTAAGTTGGTTGGTGTTTTGACCGATTTTATCAATACATATATATATATATATATATTGTTTTATATCTAAAATGTATGTTTAAGTTTTATGGCAAACTTTAACATAGAATAAACGAAAACCAACAATTTATAAAATGAAATATATTTTCATTTTATCATAAATATAAGTTTTTCATCTTTACCAATTAAATTATTACGTCTATTTTTCATTGTGAATTTAGAATATACAATTAATGACATAACAACTGTAATATATATTCTAATAAAATGGTTAAAATTTAATTCATACTTTTAAAATAAATTTTATGTTATTACTTAATTTTAAAATTATTTTTAATTATTTGTTTAGCCTATGCATAACACGGGTTCATATGCTAGTAAAGATGTATTAAAAAAAAATTTTGTTAAAAGATTGGACTTAGCCTAAAAATTCCAAGTGTAAAAATTAAAATTTTCAAAAGTTACGATTTTGAAAATAATTTTTGGCGATAATTGTTCCTTATGCAGTAAATAGTATAATTTGATTTTATGAAATTTTTTTATCAGGTATTAACCACTTTACTTCAACGCCAAACTTAAAAATTTCAATCGAAAAATTGTTTTTGTACTAAAACTGGGAAAATCACTTTTTGATTTAATTAGATTTTAATTTTTTTTTGTATTTTTCTTGGAATCCAAATGAAGTATTTCCTTA